GGAAAGAGACCTTACGTGGTAGTTGCCACTGAAGTGTAAGGCAAAGCCCTGATTCCACCCTACCTACTGACCCACTCGCCATGAATACCATTTTGCAAAAGCTTTGGGGAGACCCCTCACCTTGGAGCCTGAGACTTGGTCCCAGAACAGAGAGATACCTTCTGTTTTCTTCACCTGTGGGAGGTCTGCTCGCCATCATTCCTCCTGCTGTTGCCTTAGCATAGATCCTCAGGATCCTCTTCTGTTTTAAAAGCCTCCTCAGTTTTTCCAGCATCTTGCTTCAACCACCTATAATCCATCTTCCACAACACTTCCAAAATAATCTGAATATTCCATGTTTAAGCTCGTCAAGTGTTCTCCTTCACACACAGAATAAAATGGAAGCCGCTTAGCTGGGTGCAGAAGGCCCTTTATCATCAGGCTTTGGCCAACACCTCCAGCTCCATCTCCCAATTCCCCAGCTCCATAATTATCCTGCAGTTTACCGAGCTGCTTCCCACTATGAACACATCTTGCGCTTTTCGTTTCTATACCTCCTCACGTTTCCTTCCTGCAGCTGCAACGTGCGTGAACACCTTGTCTGTTACCTGTCAAGTCACCTGTCAAAATTCAGCTCTCTTGTCCTCTTCTCTCGACATCATCTCCTTGACAAGCCAACTTTTTTTGTAATTTGTTTACTTACACGTCTGTCTCTCGCACTGACCAGTGACCTCCAGATAAACAAGAGCCTTAATCATTTTGCCTAGTGAAATACCTGGCACATTGTAGGTATTTTTTAAAGTTATATGTGTGATAAATGTTTAATTTGTTGATTACTGATTAAGAGAGATGAGCAGGATGATTGTCAAAGGCCAAGTAGTGAGAGCAGATAAGCAGTGAGAGCACAGCAGTGAGATCAGAGGGAGGCTGATCAAAATGCCATCTGTTCTCGGGCTTTTACACCTCAGAGTCAGAGGATTCTCCTCCATAAAAGGGGGCGGTCTTGGAAACCTCAAGATCCCTGCTAATTCTAAATCGCTATAATCTTGGCAAGTGTCTCCTGCCCATGGCTTTCAGGTGGGCTGTTCCCTATAAAGTATGAGTCACTCTCATTCTGAGCCCCTTGTGACATACCTGCTTCTTCCTTGTTTTGCCCCAAAGGCAGTGTTCCACAGAGAAAAACAGTAGCCTTGAAAACAGTCACAGCTCTGAGACGGCTGAAAAAGAGAAAAAAAAACAAGGGTTTTATTATGTCTGGAAGGTTTTATTATGTCTGGAAGTGTCGGAAGTTCCCAGATTTTGGCTCCCAAAATCCCCATCTCAGTCGGGCTCAAACCTGTCTGATGCCTGGGAAACACTTAGGAACTGGGGATATAATTTTTTAACATAGAGATAATAATGATAACTGTCATTTATTGAGTATTTACCTCTTTTCAGCCATTAGGGTCTTCACGTAGTCCCCTACTACATTCAGGGGGTACAGGGTTTGGGGCCAAGAAGTGGAATGAGCGAACAAGACTGTGTTTATGTGCAGGGTTGAGATGGGAGATAAGGGCAAGCAAAGAAGTGAAGCTAGTGAATGATTAAGGGGAAGAAATCACCAGAAATGAGATGCACTCATGAACACGCATGTTGCAGGTATTCTCACAAACTTGTACCTCATCCTGCCCCTTCCTTCTCTTCCAGCTCCAGGAGGCCTTTGGGTGGGAGCCATTCACCCAGCTCTTTGCTGAGTACCAGACCCTCTCTGGCATCCCCAGAGACAACACTGGCAAGATGAATCTGTGGGTGAAGAAATTCTCTGAAAAGGTGCACAAGAACCTGGCTCCGTTCTTTGAGGCCTGGGGCTGGCCTGTCCAGAAGCAAGTGGCTGCGAGCCTGGCCTGTCTGCCTGAGTGGCAGGAAAACCCCATGCAGGTGTACATCCAGACTGAGGACTAAAAGATGTGCACGAAGGGGTGTGTGTGTGGGACGGGGGGTGATCGCTCACCAACTCTGCCACCCTCTTTCTTGCCTAGTGTACCTTGAGCCTGAATCCTACTTCCTACCTGTCCTCAGGAAGGCCTTTAAGGTCCTAAGACAAAATGGGACCAACTTTCTCAGGCTGCTGTGCTTCTTTTATTGTTTCTCTGCTTGTACTCTTGCTCTCCCCAAGAGACTTGCTTCACCATCCTCATCCTCCAGAAGAGGATGTTTCAGCTTGGCATCTTGAGTTTCTGCAGGCTCTTCGCTTCTATTTATGACCGGTAGTTCTAAAGACCATGGATCCCATTATAATCTGATACCACTCCCTCACCCCAGCCAGCCCTGAACAAAGCTCTTAACTTCTGCTTTGAGAAGCTTTCTAACAGCAAGCGAGACAGCCTGGTATAATGGGGAGAGCCCTGAACCAGCTTTGGTTCTATGGAAAATCACTAAACTCTGTCTGCATCTGGATTCTTATCCATGACATGGGATAAAAATCTATTGTTTGATGATGGTGAACGTCTTTGAACACGACCTGCGTACGCATATAAGGGAGCTCGTCAGCTTTCACCAGGCCCCATAGTAGCCTGTCTGCCCACTTTCGTGTGGACAACCTGAAAACTGAATCTCCCTTCAGAGTCAACCTCCCTGAGGTCAGCATTCAGTCCTTGTGTGAGAGTATTTAGTGAACACCAGTGTTGTTCCCAGACATGGTATCAATGATAGTTCTCAAGATCCTAGCCCATCCTATGTGTCCTTTCTTCTGCCTCTGGAAAGATTCTTGGGTATAACCTAACCCCAAGAATGTGGTATGAACTCAAAAGTGGAGGTTACAAAGCTACTGGGGTTTGGTCTTCTTGGTTAGTTTCATCTTCGAGTACATGTGCTTCGACCAAAGGAAAAAATCATTCCAGCAGCCCTACCAACTCCATAAGCCCATTGGTTCTTAGCACAAAACAGGTGTCTGACTCCTCTGGTCACCTTGGAATCAAGGCACTGTCAGTTATCGACAGCTACTGTGCTGAGAGGGCCGTGGCCAGGACAGGCTCCAATGGAACAGGATTCCTGAGTGCAGCAGACCGAATTAACCCACACTCACTTATTACCCCACAAACCAGCATCCCCCAAGCTTTCTCATAATCTCATTCCAACCCATCCCGGCTCTTTGGCTGGGTGGCATTCCAATTAGAGATGCATCCTCAGGATTAATGGAGTGTACATCTACCCATTTTCCTCTAGCTTGCTTTTAAACCGTATTTTTGTTGTTTTCAATATCATTCCATTAGCTTTGTTGAGAATAGAGAGACTCCTCAGGTGGAGAACTAACCTAGGGAATGTCTTCTTCTGAATCCCATCAGCACATCCTTCACCCAATTCTAGGACAATTTCCTTTTATTTCACTAGCGTCCTTCGTCAGGTGCTTCTCACACATGAAACGTACTCAGTAAATATTTGTTAACTGAAAGAACAGTAAAGACACCTAACACATAATGAACAGTCTTTATGTCCCAGACATTGTGTGAGGTATTTCCTATGAGTTATCTTATGGATATTATTATCCCATTTCATAGATGAGAAAATGAACACTTGAGGATATTAAATAGCTTCTGAAGTCACAAAGCTAATAAGAGGAAGAGTCGGGGTTTGACTGAAGCCCACAGCAATGAAAAAATTGTACAGCTTGTCTCCAAGAATGATTTTCAATTTAGACTCAAAATTCACCGAGAAAAATGGAAGTTCAACAAAGTTCTGACTTATGCCATGTTCACTATTGAATTTTTATTAAATATAAAATTTAACCTCTAAGAAAATATTGGTACCTGATTTTCTGGTTGTCTCAGCATGTGATTAGCTTCCCTATAGATAGAGAAAGGATTTGAACCCAGGCAATTCAACTCCAGAACTGGTGTTCTTACCCGTGATGCTAGGGATGAGTAAATGAATGGATAATGCTGGGTTTAAGAGGTTGCCATAGAGACAAAGACAAAACCTGACTTTTCCCCACATTCTCTGTAGTGGAAGTTGGAGCCCTTCTCCCTCTTACAGAGAGACTGTGGCTCTGCCGCTTGTTTCTAAGTTCAGAATTAATTGCGTGTACCTGTGACACTCTCAGAGTACTCTGTATTCCAGAGCAAACTTGCTCCGAAGGATGTCTATGCAGGTCTGGTGAATCATCAATAAATGCCATTTGCCAGGGAACTGTTATAAGTGCTTTTTATTTGTTTATCCTCACAACAGTCCTATGGAATAAGTACTATGACTATCCCCATTTTTCAGAGAAAGAAGCAGAGATACAGGGATAGCAAGTTGTGAAACCACACTTCCGTCCCTGGAAGTTGGGACTCAGGACCCACACTTTAGCCAGCATACTATATACTACCGTATATTATATGACTGGGTCTGCCACAACCTGCAGCTCTACTTGCATGGAACTATGTGTATGGCTACTGTATCACAAAATGACGACATAAAAACTACTAAAAGCCAAACAGATTCTTTCTAGTTACTCAAACAGGAATTATTTAACCATAAGGGTCATGCATCCAAGGCACACATCCCTCAATACCAAGACCCTGCCCTACCAAGTCTGAAAGGTTTTAAAGGTCCTATGCTTCAAATAACAACTTCGTGGAGTCCTAGAGGAAGCCTGTCTTAACCTCAGAGCTTGTATCCAAGTGTCCTTTGCTCATTCTTAAGGATACCCAAACTTCCATCCTCATGTCTAAGACTGTTATTAGACAAAGGAGCCCATGCATTCTTCTAGGTTACTAGATCGAATATCTGAAATACCGAAATTTCTAGCAAATTGGGTAATTTTCTAAGGAAAGAAATCACCATAGGATACACTTCAGGGAAGTAGTCATGGCTACTTTCAAGTTTTAAAGGAGATTAAAAAGGACTATACCTCTATCTTATCTCCCCTGAGCACAAGATAGCCAGCGACTTATTAGAAGAATGGACAATTAATTTCAAAAAATTAAAGCATTAGTGGTTGGTCACGCTAAATGGAACCACAGCACCTCATACTTGTGGCAAATACTGTTGAAATAAAATAACAAGCACTCTAAAGGGAATTAAAGTGATCTTCCATCTTGACTAAATCTCTGGCATTGTACATTCCCTGGTCGCCTATGTTGCTCTTTGTCTCCCCCTTATGGCCACCTAGAAAACCTTACAGCTCCTGACCATCAATTGTAACAGTGTAATTATTCCCATGGAGGCAAACTCTGTTTCTGTCTTAGTTTTAGTTTAAAAGACATATTCATGTGACTCTTCCCATGAAGAAACAGATTGGTCAATGTGCTCTTCACTTTTAATATCCATAAAAAAAAAACACCCAAATCAATTTGCTTCAACTGGAATGGAAACAAATTCATCTACTCTTTAGCTCGTAAATGTTGTTAAAATGGATTTAGATTCTTGGCATACAAAAGAGTTACTGCCGTTATCAATTACACATATGAAGTTTTAGTTAACACTTTTTACTAAATTTATGACTTTCATAAAATAAATGATTATTAGAACAAGCCCAAGAGGCTTCCCAAAATACACCTTTGGGGCCATCCAGACCACAGAGAAATATTCTCCCAAAATAAACATGACCTTTCTCTCATTTACACTAGCTCTTGTAAGAAAGAGGTACAAAGATTAGTAGCCTTATAACTAGTGGTAGCCCATTCAAGATTTGGGTAGGCTTCTCCAGCCTAATGCTTTGGGACATGTGTAAATTAGTGACCTCCCACTGGGGAAAAGTAGTAGTAAGATGTTTACAAGCTTTTCAGGTCACAGTACAGGCTGCCTTTCCATTTGTCTCATGCCACACAGAAAAGGAAACTTGGCCGCTTGGTGCCCCTAAGGGCCAATTTTTGGGGAAAAAAAAGCTACTCACAGAAGGACGTAAAGTGCTACAAACTACTTATTAAAAATTGAGTAATGGGGCTTCCTTGGTGGCACAGTGGTTAAGAATCCACCTGCCAATGCAGGGGACACGGGTTCGAACCCTGGTCCGGGAAGATCCCACATGCCGAGGAGCAACTAAGCCTGTGAGCCACAACTACTGAGCCTGTGCTCTAGAGCCCGCGAGCCACAACTACTGAGCCTGTGCTCTAGAGCCCGCGAGCCACAACTACTGAGCCCGCGCGCCTAGGGCCCGTGCTCCACAACAAGAGAAGCCACTGCAATGAGAAGCCCGCGCACTGCAACGAAGAGTAGCCCCTGCTCACTGCAACTAGAGAAAGCCCGCACAGAGCAACGAAGACCCAACACAGCCAGAAATAAATAAATAAATTAAATAAATATATATTTTTTAAAAACTGAGTAATGAAAATATCTCCAGCCACAGGACAATTAAGGCTAATAAGACCTCTGCCAAAAAAGTGTCCAAGTACATTTGGAAATAAATTCATGAGGAGTTTCATCCATATCTTGGTGATTCATCACCTCATCAAAATAGGATCCATGACCAGGGAGTTCTAACACTACTCTTAAGAGCAGAGTTCTGACCTCATGGGTCTTTAGTTTTGATTCTCTGTTCTCAAACTTTTTGTCAAGAACTTTGTGGCCCTGCTTAAGACAGCACTAAAAGCAACATCTACGTCCTGCCCAAAGATCTTGAAAGGCTGCAGAATCAAATGTGTAGGTACAAAGAAAATTCCTGCACCACCTCCAATGATCTGGGACCTGGGATCAAGCCCTAGTGTGTGGGACAATTGGTATACTGGATCCAAGCTAATATAGAACAAGTAAATCTGAAAAGCGCATGGTCAAATATACAGATTAAGTACAATTTTAGTCTCATATATTGATACCAACCAAATATACATAAAAATATGTGTGTGTGTATATATACATGAAAGAAGATTCTAAGCAGAATTATGCAGTGGATATCTTAATCAGAACGCATGTTCTAGGGAGCTCTAGCTATTCCTCTAGTGGCAAGAAATTGATGTATGAATGTGAATAGCTGGTTGCCCTTA